TAGCCTGCCCACACGGCAGAGTCTGGCAAACTCCCTGTGGCATACCCAATATGCGAAATATCAGTAACAATGATGGGTCTCATTCTCCTAAAGAGCCTTGAATATAATCTCAGGGCTAGGATGAAGGAGACGTTACTGGGGCCTGCTCGAGGCAATCGACGAATAACAGGATGATCTGTGATCTGTGATCTGTGTTTTGGGCCAGGATATCAGCATACATGATCCAAAAGTCTGCATAGATCACCCAATTTTTTATATTTAAAAATAAAACTGGCATAAAGATATCTCTCAAAAGTATTTTATTATTTATAAATCTCATTTTAGTTTACAGGGCATTCTGAAATGAGTCAGTGTCTTAATTCAAGATACTTGATACACAAGTATATCCAGTTGATGCTTGAGCCTGAAATATTAACTATTATAATAGTATACAAAGAACAGAAGAAAAATCTCACTTTGTATCAGGGTTTTTAATATCAATGAGCCTAAAAAACATTCTCCTGGTTACTATGAAAGCCAAGAATGAGTAGTGCTTATTGGTAGTGCATTTTGTGAACACGAATGTGGATTATAAGCAGGCAAAATATATGTACTAAATACTAAAACAAAGTTGGCCTGGGAGACTCATTAAAAGTGAACTGCATAATGACTGAAACTATGCAACCTCAGCATATTCACAGCAACAGATGCAATCACATTCCAAGTATGTCCACTTTTGGCAGAACTGGCAAACGCTAATGCCAGAGACCATTATTCTTTCTCCAAACATTAACTCTGTGTTTAAAACTGTGTTAATGTAATCTTAAAGCCTCTTGGCAATGGGCTTTAGTCATTAGGTGGCTAATGAAAAAAAAAAAAAGAAACAAAAACATCAGGATAAACTGAAACAAGACAGCACTTTCAATGATACATGATGCATGTAATCATTAGCATAACCAAAGATGGAAACAGGTATTTCAGGTGTTCTAGAACATAGCTTTCCTGCTGCTGCATTTCAGGAGGCACTCACTTCCTCAGGTATATTGCTGACGCTGGACTTCCCCTGAACCTTTCTCTCCTCCTCCCACCCGCACACAACCCCTCCCCCCACTGCCTTGCTGGCTCCCCAGACTACTTTTCAAGAACATGCAACAGCTCAACAGCTCAGCCCAACAGTCACACCTGTTTCCAGAGCTTGGCCACAGAACACATTTGATTCTTTTTCTTTTATTTATTTTTTTAAAATTTATTTCATACATTTTTTTGTTTTTTAATTTTATTGAATCACTGTGAGACAGTTACAAGCTTTCATATTTGGGTTATAATTACACAATGATCAAACACCCATCCCTCCACCAGTGCACATTCCCCACCACCAATATCCCCGGTATAACCCCCCTTTCCCACACGCCCCCTGCCTCCATGGCAGACAATATTCTCCATAGTCTCTCTCTACTTTTGGGCATTAACACATTTGATTCTTTCTATGCAAACATCGACCCTCTCTGGGAAGTGCAAACTGACTTAAAATATAAGTCTAGTTTAGTGTTCTTGGTCAAAGGAACTCTAGGGATTTTGTTGCTGTTATGAAACCTGTCTATTTTTAAAAATGAAAAGTAGAAAGAAGACACAATAATAGTTGAACCTTCTAAAGACCTATTTTAAAATCAGAGAGTATAGCAGGAAAGGTGCTTGCCTTTCACACAGGTTACCCCAGTTCAATACCAGGGTTCATTCTCGTATAATGGACCTTCGAGGAATGATACCTGAGCAGAGCAGGAGTAAGCCCTGAGCACTGCCAGGCTTGGCCCTCCTGCCAAATAAATAAATAAAAGATCCACTTCAGCATTTTATCATAGTTCTGTTTGTTTCCTACTGTTAAAATATTACTACTGTGTATTTATGCTTTCTATAACCACATTTCATAAGCAACTTTCCAAGTGAATAGTCTTTTAAGCAAATAGCCATTTACTATTCCACATAGTTATAGCATATTTTAATTAGCAATTTCCTTGTCATTGAACTTGTAGAATCACCTTTTGAAACAAGAATTTATTTACTGAGAACTAAACAAAAGTCACTGGCTTAAATGTTACAATATCTGAATAAGTGACTTCTAAAGAAATTTACTTAGAAAACTGAAAGATTCAGGGGCTGGAGCAATAGCACAGCAGGTAGGGCGTTTGCCTTGCATGCAGCCAACATGGCCGACACAGGTTCGATTCCCAGCACCCCATATGGTCACCTGAGCACCGCCAGGAGCAATTCCTGAGTGCATGAACCAGGAGTAACCCCTGAGCATTGCTTGGTGTGACCCAAAAAGCAAAAAAAAAAAAAAAAAAAAAAAAAAAAGAAAACTGAAAGATTCCAATTTCCTTTTTGCATAATTTTTCTTTTTTTGGTTTGGTTATTGGGCCACAGAATTACGACTGGCTCTGAGCTCAGAGATCACTCCTGGTGAAGATCAGGGGGCCATATAGGATACCAGGGATTGAACCCAGCTCAGCAAGTACCGTGCCTGCTGTACTATCTTCTGAGCCCCTTACAAAGTTTTTCTAAAAGTATCATTTTGTTTATCTTTGCTTGCAGGATGTGGCTTAGCATGACCACAAAAGAAAGAAATTTTGAGAATCATTAAACATTCTAGCTAAAGAACATCTCCAACCAGAAATATAAACCATACCCATTTTCTGATAAAATTGCTGCATGATGTAATGTTGAGTAGGCCCACCTGGGCACGGTGATGATTCACTGTGGTATGATGTGGGTGAAAGGCTGGAAGAGAAAAGACATCTGGAGACAGACATCTTTTAGAGTCAGGAAGACATAAATCTCCTCTTGGTACAAAACTTAGCTTTTTATCTTCAACATGTTACTTAAGTTACGTTGTATTTGCTTCATCATTTGTAAATAGAGTTAATGATCTTCATTATGCAGGATGAAAAATCTACATAAAAATCTATATAAGAGCCAAGTATATTTAATATACAGTAGGACTCAATATGTTTATTTCTATAAAGAGCATGCGTTTTGTTTTTAAAGGACTAACAAACTTTCTATGTTAATATTTAAAGAGAAAAAGTAATTTAATAGGATTTATTGCTATAAGTGAATTGTAGTTCATTACTATTTCCTAATGAAAAATCTCAATTTTAGAAAGTAAAGACTCCAGAATTTCCAAGGTCAACTACCATCACCATGTAACCCAACTCCTAGTATATAGTTAAGTCAATGCTTTTCTTACTTTCTGAACATTCATGAAAATGTATCAAAGATAATAAAGAGTAAACTCCTAGGCTGGAAAAGCCATGACCAGTTCATTATTTCCACCTTGTCTTCCCATTTGAGAGAGCCTGGAAGCAACAGAGGACTCAACCTGTGCACTGCAGTTAGAATGAATGGTTCAGGTTCTGGGAAAATAGATATTTCCTCCACAGATGGGTATGGCTAAGCCGGCTCCAGCCCTACACTTTATCTCAGACTCTGCACTGCAGTCTGGCCTCTCAGTGAATTGCCCCCAGTAAATTGGAACAAAATTACCTGACTAATGAGGGATTCCCTGCAGAGGACCTCCCTAAATTAATACACAATTACCAGCAGTTAACCAACAGTAAGTGTTCCCAGGGAGCCTAAAGTGTCCCTGGGGTTCTTATTTTTCCCAAATAAATTTAAACGTTGCAGACAATTATATGAAATCAACCACCCTTATCCTGTCAGTGTAATTCAGCTGTCATTAAGTAGGCATAATATTCCCTGGGAAAACACTCAGGTTTCTTGTTTGGTTTGGTTTTTTCTCTAAGAGCATTAGAAGAATCTCAGAGCTTCCTCTGGGCATCCCTGTTGGGAGGAAGCACCTGAAGTGAGGAAAGCCTTTCTCTTCTGGTGCAAAGGTAAAGACTGCCAGGATCTGTGTGTGTGTAATAAACTGCTTGTGCTACTGAAGCCAGACAGGATTTTTTTTTTCTTTTTGGTTCACACCCAGTGATACTCAAGGCTACTCCTGGTTCCGTGCTCAGAAATTACTCATGGTCGTGCTTGGGGGACCATATGGGATGCCGGAGATTGAACTTGGGTGGGCCCTGGGCAAGGCAACGCCCTACACACTATACTATCACTCCAGCCCTGCCAGACGGGATTTTATCCGAAGCATGTATCACATTTGGAGTCAATATGCACTGAGAACTTCAGAAATTACTACTCTTAAGAAGAAAAGCCAAGTTCCTTCCTTGGGCTTGGGATATAGGATCACTGTGATCCAAGGGTTAGGAATCAAGAATTTGACAAGCTAGCAGCATATCCCAAAAGAACAAACTTAATTTCTAAAGATGATTTTGGAAATTTCATAAAATGATTTCTTGCATATATTCCCTTATCCAGAAAACTCTCAATAGCAGTCATATACATGGGCCCATTCAATTCCTCACTTCATTTGGGTCTCTGTAAAAACATCCCCTTATTGGAGCAGCCTTCCAGACCATCCCATTGGAAATGGCACCAACATACTCATGTAAGTTACCTTAGGATGTCTTCTGTTTCTTATCCCTTATTTTTCTTTTTCACTACCTCTCACATTAGTTTCTCACATTGTTTATTTTCTGCCTCCCCCTTCACTTTCTCACACCAATGCACACTCCATAATAGGAGTAACTTTGCTTTATTTCAGGGCAGTAAGTCACCCAGTCTTTCCAAGTACTTGAATCACTGTTCAATAAATATTTGTCACATGAATGAATGAACTGTAGATGTTTTAGCCAAGTGCCATACATCTCCAATTGTCTTCCCAGTAAGACATAAACCCAGAAAAAGCTTCAGAGACTCACACAGGGCTAACACTAACATCTCCTTGGATGCTTCTGTTGTTAAGAAACTAGTGATTTATGTGAACTGCCCTGAAAGTTTAATATCAGCGAGTTTCTCTTCTAATCTTCCAATTTCTGTTGCTACTTAATATACCATTTGCCCTACTCCTCAAATCTCAAATAGTTTTCCTTGTTCACAAAAGCCTAAATCTTTTTTCTTACCATACTGATTGGAAGAGCTGGTGAAGAGAAGATAGTCAGAAGCACAGGTCTGAGATTCAATATCCAAATCTCCCAACTTCAGGATCAACCGCTTCCCCTTTGGTACTCTGATAGTCTTTTCACAAACAGTGTGATTGGGGTAAGTCCCTGGATAATTCTTAGATGTCATTGTGCCACTGTCCTGATAGGTCACTATGTGCCCACAGCCATCACCTGAGGGAAAAAAAAGATGAAATAAATAAGTGATATTAATACATTTATTTTTTTATTGAATCACTGTGAGATACAGAGTTATAAAGTTGTTCATGATTGGACTTCAGTCATACAATGTTTCAACATCATTCAACATCCATCCCTTCAGCTGTATACATTTCCCATCACCAATGTCCTCAGTTTCTGGGTCCCCTCTTTCATTTTAAGCACAGTGGTTTGCAATACCGTTACTGAACAGGTATCATGTATATCACACTATCTCCTTTCAGTACTCAGTTCTTGTTCAGAGTGTTTAGTGTCTGTCCTAACTGCATTCCCCTTAAACTTGTGGCTAGCTTCCAACCATGGACTCCTGGCCCTCGTTTCTATGTTTTTGGGTATCATTTTAATACTATGGTTTTTTTTCCACATTCCACAAATGATTGTGAGGAGTGAAATTAATTCTTATTGAGGATTAAGTCTAAATCATCTCTTAAATTATGCTTTTTACTTCAGTTTAAAGTGAAAATAGTTAAAAATTATGACTAAATGATTAAGCAACATCTGTTACTTCAGATGATTTTGTTTCAGATTTCCTAAATGTTGATCAAAATACTTTTTTTTTTCAATTTTTGTTAGTGAAACACCATGAGGTACAGTTGTAGATTTACAAATTTTTGTGCTTGGGTTTTGATTATACAATGATCCAATGCCCATCCCTCCACCAGTGCCCATTTTCCACCACCATGGATCCCAGTATCCCTCCCACACCCATCCCCCCATCCCACCCTGCCTCTGTGGCAGGGTATTCCTCCTTGTTCTCTCTCTCTCCTTTTGGGTGTTGCGGTCTGCAAAAGAGGCATTGACTGGCAATCATGTTCAGTCCACAGTCTACTTTCAACACGCATCTCCTCTCCTGGGAGGATCCTCCAAACACCCTTTACAAAATACTTCTTATACTGAATTGACAAACTTCACTAACACATATTTAATCATATTAGCTTTTTGTTCATCTATCTATATACCCATCCAGCACTTGCAGAGACAGTCCATAACTCTCACAGATTTGCCATTTGTATTTCTGGTTGTGGTTGTTTTGAGTTACCACAACCAGAAAGACAAATGGCAAATCTGTGAGAGTTATGAACTGTCTCTGCAAGTGCTGGATGGGTATATAGATAGATGAACAAAAAAGGGAATATAATTAAATATGTGTTAGTGAAGTTTGTCAATTCAATATAAGAAGTATTTTGATCACCATTCTACAAAGAAGTTATCCATGTCAAGAAAGGGGTTTGGCAGGGTGATACCATTTCACTGAAACTCTTCAGTGCCACCCTCGGGAACATCATGTGATGACTGGAATGGGAAGGAATGGGAGTGAAGATAGATGGTCGGCAACTACACTACCTCCGCTTTGCTGATGAGATCATTCTAATAACACCAAACATTAGCCAAGCAGCACAAATGCTGGCCGACTTCAACCGTGAGTGTGGAAAGATCGGACTACAGCTGAATCTCACGAAGACAATGTTTATGAGAAACAGTCTTGTTTCATTCACTCTCAATGGAACGAACATCTCTGAATGCAATAGTTATGTGTACCTAGGTCCAAAAGTCAACATGATGAATGACCCGGCACCTGAGTTGCGTAGGAGGAAGAGAGCGGCTTGGAACACCTTCAAGAGCGTTGAAGAAATAGCTAAGAGGACAAAGAACCTCCGGCTTCAGACACATCTCTTCGATTCCACTCGTCTTCCTACATTAACATATGCCTCAGAGACCTGTGCCCTACGCAAACAGGATGAGAACGCTATTCGGGTCTCCCAAAGAAGAATCGAAAGAGCTATGCTTGGAGTATCACGCTTCACTCAAATGAGAGATGGAGTTCTGACCTCCGTCGATGGTCAAGAATCAGGGACACTGTCTCGTTTGCCAAGGTGCCGAAAATCAGATAGGCTGGACACGTAATGAAATTTGGAGACGAAAGCTGGATTAGAGCCACCATGGACAGGATGTCAAAAGATCGCATGGCTGCCCACCTATGAGATGGTCAGACTTCTTTGTCAAGACCCTGAACGATCAGTTTGAGGCTCTTCGTGTTCCTAGATCAAGCAGAAACGCTATTGGGCTTCACTAGCACGTGACAGGGACGAATGGAGACATTACTGGCACCCACTCGAGCAAATTGATGAGTAACAGGATCAAGAGATCAAGGTCAAGTGATCAAGTGATTCAGGTTTACTCCTGGGTCTATCCCTAGGGATCACTCTCCTGGAGGGGTTTTGAAAACCATATGTGATGCTGGGGATCAAACTCAGGTTTACCAAGTGCAAGCACCTTGCCTGCTGTATTATATCTCAGGCCCCATTTTGATTTACCTATTAGCAAGTCACCCCAGAAAAGTCAATGTCAAATGAATCATTTGTAGTGGGAAAAAATATCACTTCAGAGATTTATATTGCTGGTCTAATGAGACAGTATATGCAAAAGGTAGAATCTGAGGCTTATGCTAAGAGGAATTTAAGAGCATGCTCTTCAACTGAGGACTAACAACCATTCAAAATTCATTTCTCAGTTAATGGCAGTCACAGATTTGATGGTTCCTGAGAGATTCACAACATATCATTAGAGAGCAATCAAGAATGCATAGCACTGAAAGCTTGTCACATAGCAGAGATGCTGCTATTGGAGACATAAGAAAGTAACAATGGCTATTTCACAGAACTCAGCACTGAATGGGAGACAGTCATGTCTAAAATCACTATGATGCTAGGTGCTATAAAGTGATTCAGGAGCTTAAGCTATGCCAGGAAGGCAAGAGTGATTCTATTTCAGTATTTCAGTGAATTATCAAACCCTTAGTAAAACAAGGAATCTCCTGAAGACATTTTTTCTTTTTTGCTTTTTGGGTCACACCCAGTGATGCACAGGGATTACTCCTGGCTTTGTACTCAGGAATTACATCTGGCAGTGCTCAAGGGACCATATGGGATACTGGGAATCGAACCCGAGTTGGCCACATGCAAGGCAAACACCCTCCCTGCTGTACTATCGCTCTAGCCCCCTCCTAAAGCCATTTCTAAATGGGGAAGTTCATCAACTGATCAACAAGTGGCTTCAATACATTCCTGTGACCATGTTAATAACACAAATTTAGGTGGACATTGGCTATTGTTTAGGACACAAAATGCCTGTGGTGAGAATGGCTTCAGCAAGCAAAGTTAGAATTTCTGGTGCCCACTGGGGCAGGAAGACTGAAATCCTCTGGTGAAGAAACTGGGAGTAAAAGGTTTTTACTAAAATAGGATTTCTATTTTAAAGTTCCATGGAGAAACTTGAACTTGAGATACTAGCAACCTAAAGTTCAAGGAAGCCTTCTTCCTCCTCCAGTCTCAATCCTAGCTAGCAGAGGATCCACCTGGGCTCTTTCATTTAGTTTACTTCCTTCCTTCCATGAGACTAGCAGCCAAAGGAGACCTTGTCTGCCTGTCTGTCTGTCTGTCTGTCTGTCTGTCTCTCTCTTTTTCTATATATCTCTCTGTCTCTGTCTGTCTCTGTCTCTCTGTCTCTGTCTCTCTCTCTCATACACACACACACACACACACACACACACACACACACAAACACACACAGTCAGTTGGGGGATGAGAACTCCAGAATCTATTCCATCTCAGCTCAAATGACAGAATTAGTAGAAGGACCTGGCTATTATCCAGTAACTCCCACAAGATTTCAGCCAGGAGGTTAGTCTGGGTGGAGGAGGAGAAGCAATGAGTTAGAGAATACCAGAGGGTAAATGTAGATTAGAAAACTGATATAAAATTATGAGACATAGAGATGTACACAGAAGATGTGGAATTTATATACTGGACAGCAGGGACCCAAAGATTCTTTCAAAAAAGGGAGACAGTGAAAGTAGTATCTCGATAAAGCTCAGGCATCTAGAATTCTGAGAGAACCTGAATCAAAAGGGAAATGTAAAGATTAGGAACAGAAAATCTGCAGAAAATTCACAAGTAATACACTGGGGTTAGAAAACGTAAAATAGAGGAAAGAACCAAAACTTAAAAAAAAAAAAAGGACAAAGATTTTTGAGTCCAGAAATAACTCAAACATTGAAGCTACTCTAGAAGAAAGGGAAGCCCATATTGCATGAAGGTGTAGGGCAAAGTTTAAGTCTGATTAAGTTTGAGGATCTATTTCTTGGTCTCTCTGGAAGCACAAACAAAATTGTTGAGAATCAAATGAAAACCATACTAGAGAGAATCAGTATGTAGAATCACACAGTACAACAATGTGATTTAAAATGTGAACTGCCTGCAAATAAAGACAATTACAAAGAAATACAATTGACGGATTCTCTTGAAAGTGTGAAGACATGAAAACCATCCACGAGGTATTCTTACAAGTCTAGCGGTCTGGTGGCTGTCCTCTACAAGGCACAGGGCCCTTTCTCCCCACCCGGTCTTTGTCATCCATTTCCACTACTTGCCTCACCTTTTTTAGGCACTCACTTGAGCACTCTGACACAGTAACCCAGGGGAACAAGTCTATAAATAATTGTGCACATAATACACATATAACTAACCCCCCCCCCCCGTTTTTTGCAGGGACACCTTTGGTGGTACCCTGGGATCACTCTGGCTCGGTACTCAGGGGCAATTCCTGGTAGTACTTCAGGACTACTCCTGGCTCTGTGCTTAGTGGTCACTCCTGATGGTGCTCAGAGGACCATAAGTGGCACGTGGATTTAACTGGGGTAAACTGCATGCAAGGCTTGGTCTTGTATTATCCCTCCAGCACCTGTATAACTAAACCCTCTTAAGCCACCAAGAAATCTGGTCAAACACTTGAATGCCTCTTTTCTCAATACTATGAAACGCTGCTTTAGTTGGATAGAAAAGAAAACCGCTTTTTGAGAAAACTCAGCTAAACAAGCAGCAAGTATATGTAAACCAACCTACACATGGTTACTGCTGTATTCTAAATTTTACTTAAGTGACATAACAAAGGAAAAT